TGTAAGGATTTGTTCCCTCTTTTGAGCTACTGCATCCATAGGTGTAGGTCAAGTTCATCAAATTGTATCAGATTACTTTTTTTTCCCTTTTCTATCTTCTGGTTGAGCTCTGATCATCCAGTCATTGAAACCAGGTCAAGTGGGTATTATCTGCACGTATGGGTGTTCTTGTGCATATGCCCTCTCTTCTTATCAGCTGGACGCTTCACTCTCCACTCTAGTCCTCTGTGGCTATGTCACTGACTCTGGGCCCAGGAGTCCCCAGGTCTTGCCACACTGTTGGCCAACCAGGTCTCCACCCGGGGTTCACAGGAGTCTATTAAATGTTGTAGGGCTTAGCTTGCCACTTCCTTGCTGTTTTTCCCTCATTTCCCCTTATTGGTGACAAGCGTGGTCACCAATCAGAGCATGTATTCCCATTGAGTCTTAGTCTTGGAAGGAGGTTTGCACTGCGGGGACCCGACCACTTGCCTTGATGTCTCCTGGGCAAGCAACTTGCTTGTTCTTATAGTAACAGTCGGTTTGCATCTATTGTTTTGTATTTTTCCTGTAGGTTCCTTTATCTTTTGATTCCATCCTTTTCTGCAAATTTTCAGAAGTTCCCTCAAATTGTATTGCCTTACAGGTGGAGATGAGTCTGTGTAATAGTTCTCCTACCTGGTTGTGAGCTAGAGGGCAGGATTTAGCATTTGTCAAGACATTCTGGTTTAACAAATAATTCCTTTGACACCTGACTGAAAAGGAATGAAGGAAACAGATGACTGAAAAAAATCAAAGCAAAGTAAAACCAAAGGATTTGACCCGTCACTAAGATAATTATTCTTTCACATTCTTGGAAGATAATGAAGGTGGCAAAGTTCTAACTAAGTCCATTGTACTCTACTTATTTGATTTCTGGTTAAAAAAGGAGGAGAGGTAGGGTAGGTTGGCAGAGTTCAGAAAAACGTACGCGTAGGCAAGTCTTTTTCTTTGAATAACTAACTATATCCCTCCCATGTTTTGTCTTACTGCTTGATCTATTTATGTATTTTCTTTTTGACTTTTTGTTTAGTGAAATATTAGGAATACAAATACATAGCATGAGGACTATTGAAATAGTTTCTATGAGTCAAAGAAATGGGAAATCCTTAGGGCTCCCATAACCAACAATCAGGGTCTGACCTGATTCAGACACAACTCCTGGAGGGCCTGGTTAGTAAAGGAGCGGTTGGACCATGGGCCAGTAACATCAGCATCACTTGGGAGCTTGTTGGAAATGCAGAATCTCAGGCCCCACAGACCTGGGAGTTTGAACCTGCATTTTAACACTGTCCTTCACTGAAGTGAGGGATGCTTCTCCAGGATGTTTTGTTGGGAAAAAAAATACTAAAGGCGTTTATGATGTCAGGGTTAGTCTTGCTCTGGAGGAACAGGATAATGCTGGTAAGGGAAGATTAGTGTTAGAGCTCAGTTTGTAGGCAGAAAATGTCCAAAAAGAGAAGGAAGTTTTCCAGGTAAAGAGGTCTGTGATAAAAGAAAGAAGTGTTAAGAGAGGGAGGAGAGGTAGACAAGGTACCCGAAACTTACTCCTCTGTGCCTTCAACTTTCCTTTAAGATTGGCCTTTTGTAGAACAGGCATCCTCCACTTTGTGAACATTTGCTCTGGTAGCGTAGTGGTTACGAATCGGGCTGTGAACCGGAAGGTCAGCAGTTCGAAACTACCAGCTGCTCCGCGGGAGAAAGATGAGGCGATCTGCTCCCGTAAAGACTTACAGCCTCAGAAACCCTATTCAGGGTCGCTATGGGTCGAAACCGACTCGACGGCACTTAACAACAACAACTTTGCTTTTACAAAAGACCTGCATTGTTGTTTGTTGTTGTTAAATGCCATCGAGTCAGTTTTGACCCATAGTGATCCTGTATAGGCTTTCCAATGAGTAGCTGGTGAGCTTGAACCACCGACCTTGCAGCTCAAACCAACTTTGCCGTCCAGTGCATTAACGCACAGTGCCACCCTAGAACTCCTTCAGTACCTGTTATGGCTAGCAGAAAGAAATTAGAAGAGGATATTCATTTTTTCAAAAAAAGACATAAAGTGAAACTAGCATTCAGTGTTTGTTTTGCAATGAGCTGTTAAAGAGGCAGCACCCCCTTACCTGGCCCCCAGCATGGAGAGGGGTGTTGGCAAGCTCCTCCCTGCCCCCAAGCTACGTTTAGTATCTCAGCATCAAATTATCGCACTGTTGAACTGTGCCTATGAACACTATCTTGTTATTAAGTGCAATTAAGTCAGTTCTGATTCATAGTGACCCTGTGCAGGGTTTCTGAGGAGCAACTGTTGAGTTTGAACCACTGACCTTGAAGTTAGCAGTATAGTACTTCTACAGCGCCACAACAGGCCCCTAGATTTATGTGATGTTGGTGGTTGTGTGCCGTGGAGTGTGTTCCGACACATAGGACCCTACATAGGGTTTCTGAACTCTAAATCTTTATAGGATCAGAAAGTCTCATCATTCTCCCATGGAGCTTCTGGTAGGTTTGAACTGCTGACTTGCAGTTTACAGCCCAACTCATAACCTACTACAACCAGGGCTACTTAGTATGATTTAGTAGGTTAATTTTGGGGTCTTGAAATGCTCAAAAAAAAAAAAATTCCTATGTAAATTAATAGTAACTGCTCCTTCGTTACATGCCTTTCAGTATATGAAAGTTTCATAGGAATGCTCTACTTTTGGTTAGCAGGGGAAACCTGTGCTTCCTTACTTGTTTCTCTTTAGTTGTCACTGTGTTTTGCATGATTTGTGATTTCAAGTTTGACTTGTAAACTGGTTGCTCACAGGAGTGTCCAAGCATGTTGGGGATGCCCTGAAAGCCCATTCCTCCCAGTCCTTGCGAAAAATCTGGACAGTTGGAATCCCCCCTTGGGGTGTCATTGAGAACCAGAGAGATCTTATTGGAAAAGATGTAAGTAGACAATTTCTTCACAATACATGATAATGAACCTGTATTCAGCAGCTAACTTAATATTGCATGTGAATGTCTTATAAACACCCCAAATGTAACATAGTCTCAAACTTATGACAGAGTTCTGTTCTGATGACTCCCTCAGAATACCGCATTAAAAATTTTCTCATTGGACATGGAAAGAGGGAGCAGCTGAGAAATCTAGACCCATGGAAAGAGAGGGACTGAGTGCTGGTGGCCAGGAAGCAGGCTTGCAGAATGTGCCTTTTTTGGTTGTTTGTTGTTGTTGTTGTTAAGTGCCGTAGAGTCGGTTCCGACCCATAGCGACCCTGTACAGGGTTTCCGAGGGTGTAAATCCTTACGGGAGTAGAAAGCCTCATCTTTCTCCCGCAGAGCGGCTGGTAGTTTCGAACCGCTGACCTTAAGGTTCGCAGCCCGATTCGTAACCACTATGCTACCATATTCTTGAGTGTTTTTGTATACATCTCCCCACCCCAAAAAACAAAACAAAACAACTGAGGGAAAGAGTGGAAGCAAATAAAGTTGAATGATGCACGGAGGAGATTGTAATCATTGCAATGAGACGTATAAAGCTGATGTTCTCCCATGTAAACTATCACTCAGATCACAATAACATAATAATTTTAAAATGTTCTCATCATTATTTCCTTCTATTATCAGTATATTTAGAAATCTGGACTTTCTTTGTCTTTTGGGGTTGGAAACATTACATTTAAACTTACAGATATCATGAATACATAAAAAATACACAAACCATAAAAAAGTTAATGCTGATGAAGAGTTGGATGACATTGGCATTTTCTCATTTGTAGTAATAACTCCACTGATGAAGATTCTGGATTACCTGAATGATCCCATTCCAAGGCATCATTCAGATAATTGGACTAACTGGTTTTCTATTCAGAAAAATAGTGAGAGTTTTCTGTATGATCTTTTTTTTTTTCCCCTTCATATATTTTGCGTTAACGTCTTACTGTTTCTCAAATCTGCCTATGGATTTCAGCAAAGCGATTAGCATTTGGAAACATGTTTTCAAACAACTGAAGCCCGTGATTTAGTTTAGAAAATATTAAAGCTAATCCCTTTACTGTAAAGAAAAATTGACAACTTGTCTCCTTATTCCTCGCTATTTTTTTCTGTTGGCATTTTTTGCTTCTTTCAATTGCATTCAGTCCTAGTCTGTCATTTTCATGATCTGCGAGCTGTTCCACATCAGCAATACGAAGGTCTAAATTCACTGTTCTTGCCATATAGACAATTTCCGCACCAATCTCGTCCATTACATTATCCTGATCACATAATTCAGCAATTGTTTTCCATATTCCATTAATGCATATTCCCTCTCAGGAAGATGTACTAATGATGTTGTTGTTAAGTGCCATTGAGTCAGTTCTGACCCACAGCGACAAAGGAGTGACTGGTGATCTTGAACCGCTGATATTGCGGTTCAAATCAACTTTGCAGTCCAGCACATTCGCTCACAGCACCATACCATGACCCCGTACTAATGATAGTATGTATATATATTTCAAAAGACAACAGTTGTAAATGTGGTCCATTATAACTTCACTATGTGGTAAGTCATGGGCTACATATATGTCTATAACCAAGCTCCTGATTTCTTACTACTTTCCATAAAAATGCTCAGGCCCCAAACCTTAGAGTAATCCTGGAGGGATTGGATTTCTTTGTCTCACACCTCAAACTTTGATTCATCAGTAAGTTATGTGAGCTCCATTATTAAAATTTATCTAAAATCTGACTTCTCATCTTCTCCAGTGCTACTAAGGAGCTCCAAGCCACCATTACCTGTCACCTTCCCAACTGTCTCCCTTCTCTCCTATCATAAACTAATTCTCGACATAATGGCTAAAATGTAAGTCGTTGTATCACTCCTCTGTGCATAACCTTTCAGTGACTTCTCTTTCTTTTGAGCAAAGGTCAAGGTTCTTGTAATAGTTTATGTGTAGTGAATCAGGGGCCATTAGTGATATATTCCTGTTCACTTACTGACAGAGTCCTAGACTGTATTTATTTGTTCTTCTAAAGGGAATGAAGTTTTCTAAAATGAATCATGATGCATTAATTTTCCTGTTCTTAATGCAATAAAATTGCAATGTAAAGAAAACAAAAGTCTTCACCACTGGATCAATAAACAACATTCTTATCAATGGAGAAAAGATTGAAGTTGTCAAGGACTTCATTCTTCTTGGATCAACTATCAGCCTCACGGAAGCAGC